TAGCCAATGCCCAGTCTTCTTCCTCGTCCTCCTCATCTTCTTCGTCTTCCACGTCCATTACATCCCCATCAATCTCTTCATCAAGCTTATCATCATCGGGTGAGCTTGGGAAACGTATAATTCATCGTTGCTGAAGGGTGTGTGTAGTCTTTCCCGAGGAAGGTGGATTGGTACGGATGAGGCACGCAGTTGACACGGTCAAAATACGCTTGCATGGTATAACCTTGGTGTTGAACATCCGTGTCAATGGGCTCAATAATTGTGCTACCCATCTCGTCAATGGTGAGGCTCAAACACCAAATAGAGTCAGCAATAGAGGAGAGGGTGGCTCTGCCAAGGGGTTGGTTTTAATAAGAAGCCAGGTGTCATTACCAGAGCGTTTCTTGAATGTTTGGTTGTCGATGATCCAAAGCTTGGTGGCTTTCGCTCGGGGACCACTGGTGACTGGAACGTGCACCTTTTCAATGATATCCATGACGAGGAATGCATATGGCAGGATTCGAGTTGGAGGCAACACCAGTTATGTGGATCATGACAAATTTGGTCCAATTAATTGGTGTTGTGTGCATGATGGCGTGAATGACCTTTATGTCCTCGACAAACAGCGTCATATGGCTACGAGCTTTTGGTTTGAGGATCTGAGTGATGATGTAGAGCAGTAACATGTTCTCCGGGGGAGCCAAATGGATGGCCGGGCAACCAGTGGCATGCCAAATGAGTTTGGTGATGCCGAGTTCATCGATGATAACTCCTTCATTGTTGATCACCCAATGTTCTCCGCCATATTCGGAGATGTCGCCTCCTTGGAACATAATTTCAGCGATACATCCCAGCGCCTCCACGGTCTCGATGGGATGCTCCTTGACCATAGAGTGAAGGACACCCCCTCACATTCGGAGATTGGAATAAAAAGCCCGAACCAGTGTAGGATTATCACCAAGAAATTTGAAGCCGAGAGATAAATAATATAATTAAGGAATTATAAAAATATTTTAGAGCATAAAGATATGGAATAAAAGAAAATAGAGCACCAAATTACAACCTATATTTGGGTTTAAAATACTGCAAAACCCATTTTATACTTAATAAAGTACTATTAAAAGATGTACAACTTCAAAACTGAATATATGCAACACCATTTGAGATGTTCTAAAGAGTTATGCAGAAAAGATATGTCAAGGGAGTTAAAAGGGGAAATAGTTTGGGCCTAAAAATCACAGGGTTTAATCGACTTTTTGAGCATCGAGGTTAATGGATTCTGGCTCGAACGGTTGTGGTCGACTTAGTTAGAGACCCAGGCAGGTAGGTATGGTGTTCATCATCCTGCCTATCACGACATCTCATTCAGCGCCACTCACCATCACTTAAATTTTTTTCTTTTCCATCGCAATCTATCACTGAACAAAAGTGTCGATCACGTCCATCAAGCCTATTTCTTTATTTTTTAAAAATATATAATAAAATCAAAATTACTTAAAAAATAAAAACATTAAATAAATATTTCATTAAAATTTAAATTAAAAATTACATTGGCATAATACAAAAAACAAAAAAAATAAGAGGGATAGATGGCGAAAAAATACAAGTACTCCATTAAAAAAATAACTTTGTGATTCAAAGAATCTAACAAGGAAGAAGGAAAGGAAAAAAGGAAAAAAAACATAAAATTTAAAACAAAAAAGTATAAAAATTAAAAACTGTAATTAAAAATTAAAAAAGATGAAATGGAAAGAAAAAAGAAATAAAGAGAGAAAGAGAGAAAGAAGGAAATTAAAGAAAGAAATAAGGAAAAAACGAAAAAGCATCATCATGGAGGTAATGGTCAATACGCGCATCACACTCACAGGGAAGAGAGTGGTGTTCCCTCCCCATCGCGCGCTGAGGTGGCAACAACCTCAGCCAGCCATCACAGCTCCACCACAACCCCACACTGATCAGCCGCGCCATAGGTTGTAAATATTATATATTTCATATTTTCTTAGGTTTTACACTGTTTGAAGAAGAAAATTTATTTAGAGAAGATGGAGTATTTAAAAAATATTATTTCTAACACCATACCGAGTGGATGAGTGGTAAAAGATCAATGTATGAACACCAATTCTCAATATATAACAATTTAACACTCCAGGTAAAGTTCACTCATGTTCAAACACCAGAATTTCCAAGATTTATGGGAAAGTTCACTCATATTCAAGCACAAAAATATAACAAAGTATAATAAATATTATTTCTAACAACATACTGAACATAGGGAGTGCGAAAAGTTAATATATATACTCCTAGAGGTGGCAATCGGGTCAACCGGGTCGGTTTCGGGTTGGATTTTTCGGTTCGAATATCATTTGGATATGTGTTATAATCAGTTTGGTTCGGTTCGAATCGGTTTAATTTTGGTTCAGATTTGATTTGGTTCTATACATTATTCGATTCAATTCCGTTTCGAGTCGGTTCAGATACGGTTTGGATATAAATCGGTTCAGATAGATTTCGGTTCGGATACAATTTGAATCAGATATATTTCTGTTTGGATCTAGTTTGGTTCAGATATATTTTGCTTTTCGATATGTTTCAGTTTGAATATATTTCAATCAAATATATTTTGGATATATATTATTTTCTAATTAAATTTTGATTATCCATTTCTCTATTTCCATTCACCTTTAATTCTTAGACCTAATTTCTTTCAATTGTTGTTTCACTTTGTTTTTCAAATATTTTATTTTCTTTAATTTTTTAATAGCAAAATAGTTGGCTCACTTTATTCTTCCAATATTTTATATGTATACTTATCTTAAAATTTCTAAATATAATAAATTTAAGGCATGAGATTTTGTATTTTTTCAAGATGGTAATCCATTTTATGAGGAAATGAGCAAGTAATGTAAATAGTTCAAATGGTATAAATAAAAGTAAAAGTTTAAAAATACAATATGCTTATGGAAAGACAAATACAGTTCCAAGTTTATCAGTTTTAGTTCTAATCGGGATCGAATATTATCAGTTTCGGATCTAATCAGTTCTGGGTCTCATCAGTTTCGGGTATTATCAGTTTTGGATCTAATTGGTTTTGGGTTTAATCAATTCGGATATTATCGATATTATCGGTTTTGGATCTAATCGGTTTCGGTTTTAAATTGGATATGAATTATTTAGTTCGGTTTCGGTTTGATTCGGATCATTTCGGGTTTCCGGTTACTGATCGAATTTTCATTTTTCAAATCATTTCGGTTTCGGTTTAAGATAATTCAATTCCGGTTCTGTTTTGTCAGGTCTATATATTCCGTAAACACCAATTTTGAATATATAACAATTTAACGAAGTAGATTTCTTAATGCTCTTAATAATTTTAAATTTATCTACGAAGCATAAAAAATACTCTCTCCGTCCCCAATTTGATTAAAAATTGCGGGTTACGAAGTAAAATTTCTTACTTTTTGAAATCATTTTATTTACAAATTGGTATATCAATAAGATATAAAAATTATATATTAAAAAACTACGTCAAAAGTTCTACAAAACAAGAGGTGACAAAAATATTTTATTTTATCAAATACTTAGGGGGGTGTAGATTTTTTTAGATTTCAAAAAGTTGATGAATTTGAAAAATTTGTAGAATCAATGTAGAGTTTGGTTGATTTTATGTAGAATCTATGTAGAATTTAAAAAATTTATAGAATCCACCCAAAATCTCTCTGACATTCCAACAATCTCTCTGTGGGCCGTACCAATGGGGGGAGGTGGACTAAAATCGCATGCTTCCTTATCTGCATATGTATTACTCCGTATTGAAGTCAGTTCAGTTACGAACAGCTTTTGTATTCCTGAAATTACGAACAGAGCAGCGGACAAACCCAAGAACGACAATCAGTGCGACGATCGGACAATCGCGATTGGAAAACAAACGGGTAGACGATCCGGATCTGGATCCGAGAGAGGAGAGCCGGTAGAGACGATCTCAAATATGGAATATGGAAATCCATAGAAATCTAGAGTTGTGGGAAGAGATTTCTTGTAAGCATTTTTAGAGAAAATCCAACAAAATTCGTAGAGTATTAAAATTCTAGACTTTTGAATACCTCAAAATTTTGAAAGATTTTTGAAAATCCAAGTTGAATACTTCAATATTTTTAAAGACTTTAGAAAATCCTTATTAAATACCTCAAGATTTTTAAAGACTTTTTGAAATCTAGATTAAATAACCTCTGATTTTAAGAATCTAAAAAAATCTTACAGACTCTCAATTCAATACACCCCCCTTAATGAAATCGCGTAAACAAATAAAAGTTATCGAGAGGAGAGAGAAAAAAAAATTGTAATCTATTCAGGAACGGAGGGAGTAAAACTTAAGTAAAATACAATTTATACATGATAAAGCTTGAACGAGTTTTCAAAACAAACTTATTAGTTAATGAAGAAAAATAAATAAAAATTAATATGCAAAAAAAACATTAGACAAATTCTTTTGTAATCCTAATGTGCATTACTCATTTTATGGATCTTGATACATAAAATAACTCCATGAAATGGACCTTACAAAAATAAAGAAATCCAACTATGAACCTACAAGAAATTTGTGAGAAAATCTACATTTCACATGTAAATTTTGAGATCATGATAGCACAACTCAAACATTACCTTGTACCACACCCAAACATTAAATCAATCATCTGGTTTGTGCTGGTTTGGGTTTTTACAAATTCCGATCAGTTTTGGCAGTTAATTTATCAGTTTCTTTTACCCTAAAAAAAGTTACAACCTTCCATAAATAATTCAAACACGAAGTCAATCAATTAGGCTAAGCATAACCTTAATTACAAAAAACCAAAGTGTGTGTGTTTGTGTTTGTGTGTGTATAGAGGAGTTGTAATCTTACAGTACTCCAAGTGGTGTAAAATTATGACACCAATTAAATTAGAGCACCTATAGTGATTGTTTGTAAAATTGACAATTCTTACCTCTCTCATAACCTCCCTCATAAACCCCCACCTCCGACCTCGGACCCTCACGACCACCCTAGCCCTTGTAATTGCACCATATAAAAAGAAAAAACGAATAGAACACATGTTACTTTAAAAAAATGGTGCTCCTCATTGCCTTAGGTGTTTTCAGGCGAGGCGTCGATCTCATAGCGCCTAAGCAATGCCTTAATAACTATGAATCCCTCCGAACCGCACAGTTCGGTTCCAAGCCGTGGTTCATGGACCCGTTTGCCCGCCCCTACACCAAACACACAAGCCCAAGCCTTCTTTTTTGGTACCGCGGCCCATGATCGGGTATTCATTTAACTGCCAACACTAAAAGCAAAAGCAGGTGAGAATATTGAAATCCAATGTTCAAGAAGCAGAATGGACGAATTATGCCTTCAAAAGAGGTACATGCATGAAATTCAAGATAAATAGAAAAACAAATGACATTTTAAGAAAACATAATTCAGGTTTTCAATCGAGAAATAACCTTTCAAGTTAAAGAGCTCATCAGTTCTTTCTAACCATCACAACTTACCACATATGGGGATGAGCTTAAGACATCCTACAACTTAATCACAAAATCGGGGCCGGGTAACCGGATATATTCTCATCACAGAATTAATGTGGAGACACCTCTTCCCAATATTCTCGCACGCAATCATTTCGCAAATCCTTGCCATGTCCTGGTCGCCTTTAGCAACTCCGACCCCATCGGAAGTGTCAAACTTCATGCACAAGTGATGGCTTGATATGACACCGCCCAAATCACATACACCTGGTTGGCCGAGGATGGCATTATATGCACATTCCAAATCAACAACCACAAATTCCATTGGCATCGTTGTCACTCGTGGATACTCTCCAATTTCAACATGGAGCAGGATTGATCCTTCTGCCTCGACGGAAGTCCCCAAGAAGTCAGCCAAGTGGGGTCTGTCTAGACGCAACTGCTGCCTAGTCAATCCCATCCTTTTGAAGACATCAAAGTACAACACGTTGACATTACTCCCTATGTCAACCAAGACCCTCCCAACATAAACTTTGCGGATGCTCATGCACAAACTGATGACTAAGGCATCCCCATCATGAGGGTACCTTGGGAGGTCACTGTCAGTAAAAGTGATTGGTTCTCTTGGCGTAACATTAAAAGCACTGGATCTATTGTGAACTCTTGGTTGGACAACATCCCTTTCTGTGGTACTTTTTCGATGGGCTTTCCGTAACTCATCCTTATTCTCGCAGGCAATCATTTCGCAAAACCTCGACATACCCTGGAGGCCTCTAGCAACTCCGACCCCATTGGGAGTGTCAAACTTCATGCACAAGTGATGGGTTGATATGACACCGCCCAGATCCCTTATGCCCGGTTGGCCTAGGATGCCATTATATGCACTTTCCAAATCAATGACCACAAATTCCATTGCCATTGTTTTCACTTGTGGATACTCTCCTATTTCAACATGGAGCAATATTGATCCTTCTGCCTCGACTGAAGCCCCTATGAAGTCATCCAAGTGGGGTCCGTCTAGACGCAACTGGTGCCTAGTCAGTCCCATCTTTGTAAAGGCATCAAAGTACAACACGTTGACATTACTCTCTATGTCAACCAAGATCCTCCTAACATCAATTTTGCGGATGCTCATGCATAAACTGATGACTAAGGCATCCCCATCATGAGGGTACATTGGGAGGTCACGGTCAGTAAAAGTGATTGGTTCTCTTGGCGTAAAATTAGCGGCACTGGACCTATTGTGAACTCTTGGTTGGACTACATCACTTTCTTTGATACTTTTTCGATGGGCTTTCCGTAACTCATCCTTATTCTCGCAGGTAATCCTTTCACAAGTCCTCGACATCTCTTGGTCGCCTCTAGCTACTCCTACCCCATTGGGAGTATGAAACTTCATGCACAAGTGATGGGCTGATATGACACCGCCCAGACCACATATGCCCGATTGGCCTAGGACACCATTATATCCACTTTCCAAATCAACAACCACAAATTCCATTGCCATTGTTTTCACTCGTGGATACTCTCCTATTTCAACATGGAGCAGTATTGATCCTTCTGCCTCGACTGAAGTCCCTAAGAAGTCAGCCAAGTGGGGTCTGTCTAGACGCAACTGGTGCCTAGTCAATCCCATCTTTTTGAAGGCACCGAAGTACAACATGTTGACGTTACTCCCTGTGTCAACCAATATCCTCCTAACATCAACTTTGCGGATGCTCATGCATAAACTGATGACTAAGGCATCCCCATCAGGCGGGTACTTTGGGAGGTCTCGGTCAGTAAAAGTGATTGGTTCTCTTGGTGAATCACTAACAGCACTGGACCTATTGTGAACTCTTGGTTGGATTACATCACTTCCTTTGGTACTTATTCGACGGGCTTTCCATAACTTATCCTTATCATTGGCATGACAATGATTCTTTCTCGAAATTCCATTTCCCCAGAAGCCACATGGAGCCAGTGAGTCACAAACATAACAATGGCACTGAAATCAAGAAAAGGGCAATCAAAATATGTGCACGTCTAACCAGAAATTCAAGGAAGAAACCTGTGAAAGGTAATCAGAAAATGAAATATGTTTCATAATAACACTTACACGGTCACAGTGATTTTTGTGCGGAGTAGAAGCAAAAGGAAATTTAACACAAAGATGTCGAGGATGGGGATAATCTCTACAAGCAACCTAAATTCGAAGAAAATCAAAGTGTCATGTCATAACTGGTGTATGGTGAAGAAAAAACACAGTATGCAATTAGAAATCAGAATAACAAACCAAAAGTTACTCAAGCTGCTTTGCACATAATTTCTTTAGGAACGATCCAGACTGTTAATCTAAACTTGATATTCAAACGAGCAAAGGATTAAGTGTCCTATTCCCAAAGCTTCAACTTGTCTAAATCTAGTTTGTAAGTATAAGCATCACATTCACATAACGACGCCATAATGCCGTTAAAATAGTAATGACATCAAAATAGTACAAGCATCACATCATTCTCCCTTCGTCTCCAAATGAAATCCACACCTTCATTTTTGTCCGTAATAAACTTCACACTCCTCTCCTTTCCTTTTTAGTTTTTAGGAAATGAATATGTGGCTCACAACAATTCTCTCTCTTTTAACAAGTTCCAAACAAACTTCACTTTTAAAAACTTTCTTAAACCCCTAAAGTCAAACTATGAACTTCATTTGCCTAATCCAGAGTTTAAATTTAATTATATTTAGGAATAGAAAAGAGGGATATCACAGTCTGCAGGTTTGAACCTAGGATAAAACACACTAGTATAAACTATTAGTATCTTCTCAAATATCATCATCTTCATCAAGATTAAGATTACAAAGAACAACAGGTAGTAGATTAAGATTACAAAGAACAAAAAAAGTATTTTGTAGAGCAAACTTTCACAACAGTAACCATTATAAGAACCAAACTACACATTAACATGAAAAACAAACAAGCACCAACAAAAAAATTAAAAAAAAAGAAAAAAGTTGTTGGTGATTTTACTATAATCAACTATTTTTGTGTGATTGGATTTACTTAGATCAGACAAGAATTTGAATAGACGTTGTCTAATGAGTTAGGAGGCACGGAGTGTGTACTCGTTCAACGATATTACAAATTCATGGCGGGGGTCCAGGGGCGGCAGCCCCTGGCGGGGTCCAAGGGGAAGAGCCCCTGGCCAGAATTGAGCTGTGATCGGAGTCCAAAATAATAGAAAATCCCGGACTTCACATAAAGACCAATTTTGACCAAACTCTACAAACGTTTGCATCCAAAACCTCGAAAGTCTGCATTTATCCCTACCACGCGAAAGTTTGCAAATTTTTACGCGAAAGATCATGTCTAATCGTCAATTTTCATCTCTATAAATAGAGACACTCGGGTATGCTTGAAGATATGATTCAAAAGGCTTGTTCTTGATTAACGTCTTATCCGATTAAAGTATTTTGATATACCTCGAAATAACTTTGATGTGAAAGCGTTCTACGCGATTCGTTATATTCTATCAAGTTATTCTTCTCGTTCTTTGTCAACGCTGCTTTGTAGTGTTCATCTTACATTCTACTTTACTACAAAAGTAGAGCTAGAATAATTGAAGAATTGTTGGTAATCGAACTTATGAGTAGCACACCAGCACAGCCTCAATTGGAAGTTATAAAGGTAAAATGGGCCAACTGTATTCAGTAGTGAGCAAGCTCATGATGGTGAGCCGCAAATAGAATTAAGTGGATGACATAGTTGGCTTAAATGCTTAACCCACAATACAAGAAAAGAAAACCTTAGAATCATTTAGGATTAACTTCACTGTATTTTTTGTACAGGAAGAGCATCATTTTGTTTGTCCTGATTTCATTAATTAAGTACTTGGTTGCCTAAAAACCAAACTTGCGTAAACCTAAAATGGTATTCTCCCTAGAATTCCAAGCTCAACTAAAATTTACTTATCCATACACCTACATTTCCATTCGAATTCCAGAAAATGATGGGAAAAAAGAGCAAATTTTGAAATTTGATTGAGTTTCAGAGAGAGATATACCGGACCCTTCTCGCTAACAATAATCAGATCATCGGAGTCATAGCTCCGTTTGCCGTGACTTGGTTTAACCGACTCGGCGGGATCTTCTTCCAGCACCACGCAATCACTGTCATCGCTATACATGGAGCTCTCTCTATCTTGGTAACCCTAGCTTAATTTTTGCGCCAACTGCTCACTATCATGAGCTTGCAGAGTTATTTTTTCCCAAGCCCTAGCTTAATTCATGCCCTGTGAGTAGGGGTGAGCAATGGTAGGGTTTATAGCAGGTTCCCATACCTCACCAAATATTTGAATTCATACGGTATGTTTGAGAACATGGATTTGGATTTGAAATCCGGATTTAGCTCAAATTTCATGTTTTGGAAATCTAAAAATTTTGAATTTGGATTTGAGTCAAATTCTTGTCATTCATAACAAAGTTTAATTTGAAATCCATGCACCTTCTCTTGTCATTTGAAATTCAAGATTTCAAATTTTGGAATTGAAATGCATAAATTGAAATGAAATGCTAGTTGCCAAACACTACCTTTACGTGGTAGTGTTCCTGATCCCAAAATTTTTGTTTGATATGGTTCGGAAGATTCAATATCGATTTCGAGATAAATTGGGATGAAAATATATGCAGCTAATTTAAACTTTAAAATGTCACAAAAATATTTATTTTTATAAATCAAAAGTATATTTAAATAAAAACATAAATAATGAAAAGTAAATGCAAGAAAGGCTTATTAAACTTATTTTATATCTCACAAGCTACAGTGACAAATGATAACAAAATGATATTTCAAATGTGGGTTACTATTTTAAATTCTTCTACAAAATATTAAAACTCAAAAAAAAGTATAATGTACACATAATAAAATTTGAGCCAAATTTTAGGGTAAATTTCAACAATGGTATTTGAACTTTCACGAAAAATTTCAATTTGGTACGTGAACTTCAAAACCTTTCACAAAAATACCTGAACTTTTAACATTTTTTCACTAAAAGTCCATTTACCCATTAGCAGGTAACCAGCAGGTCACTTTGGGCCAAATTACAGAATCTAAATTTTTGTTTTTCACATTGACCCTAATTTCTTCTTTTTCTTATCCTTACACTCTCATAATTTATATTCTTTTCTTTTTCAACTCAGTCCCCTTTCTTTCTCTCCTTTCTTTTTCCCCTCTTTTCTTTTATTTTTTCTTTATTTTTTCTTTTTTCTTATTTTCAATTTCTTTCCCTCCTTTCTTTTGCTTCTTTTTTTCTTTGAACCTTTTTAATCGTTATTTATTTTATTTATTCATTTTCACTTTATATCATTTCCTTTTTTTCTTTTAATTTTCTTCATTCTGTCCTATTTTTTCCTTTTTAAATTTTTATTTTTCACGGTTTTAATTTTCTCTGTTTGTTTCCGTTTGCTACTTTTTTCATTAGTTCCTTTAAAATCCTTATTTATTACTCCATATTTATTCCGCCTTTTCTCATTTCTTACTTTTTATAAAAAAAAATAAAAAAACAAAGCAAACAAAAAAAGATGGTTATTTACAGTAAATATAAAAAACGCTTACAAAAAAAGATCAACAACAAAAAACTGTAGAATGAATAATTTCCAATAGAATATTATGGGAGATTACATGTGTATATATACAAAGATTTCCTAATTAATGACAATAGGAAACAATAGTTAATACACCCTATGCAAATATGGTAGTTACCAATTTACAATAATATTAAATACAGTAATAATATATTTAACATGCTCCCAACGGCACTAATGAAGATCGCCGCATGCCCAAACAATCTCGAAACTCGGAGAAGACCATGGAAGGTAGTCCTTTGGTGAAGATGTCTGCATACTGTAGGGAAGAAGGTTCATGAAGGACTCTTATCTGACCCAGAGCTACCCTGTCGCGCACAAAGTGAATGTCAACCTCAATGTGCTTCGTGCGCTGATGCTTGACAGGATTGGCGGAGAGATATACAGCACTGATGTTATCACAGAAGACCAGTGTAGAGCGTGTCAGAGGTTGTCGGAGTTCTAGAAGAAGATGACTTCAGCGACGACATTGGCAACAACTCGATATTCTACCTCAGGTCATTGGCACTAACCTCAGTAACTGGATGTCGACCGGCGAGTATTTAGACAACCAGCCCAATCCGCATCTGAATATGCCCGCATGTGATCTGTCTGAGAAGGTGAGAAGGTAATGCCATGGGTGGGTGTGCCCGCATGTAATCTGTCTGAGAAGGTGAGAAGGTAATGCCATGGGTGGGTGTGCCGTGAGGCATAGCTGCTGGACGGCATAGGTAATATCCGGACGGGTGAAAGTGAGGTACTGCAGGGCTCCCACAATAGAGCAATAGAGAGAGGGATCTGGTGCTGGATCGCCGGCGGTGGCCGAAAGTTTCCCGCGGGTGTCCACGGGTGTAGAAACCGGCTTGCACGCGGTCATGCCGGCCCGTTCGAGGATGTCATAGATGAACTGAGTCTGAGTGAGGAACAAGCCGTGAGAGGTCCACTGGACATTGATCCCAAGAAAGAAGTGGAGGTCACCCATGTCTGTCATAACAAACTCCCCTTTTAGCCGTCCTGTCAGCTGCTGAAGAAGGGAAGTGGATGAAGCTGTAAGGACAATATCATCTACATAAAGGAAAAGTAGAGCCATGTCCTGGCCGTGACTGTTGACAAACAAGGAGGTGTCGCTCTTACATCCATTAAAACCAAGAGAGAGGACGAAGCCTGTGAATCGCTGGTACCAAGACCTGGGTGCCTGTTTGAGTCCATTGAGTGCCTTATTTAATTTGCATACATAATGTGGGCGAGCAGGGTCCTGAAATCCTAAAGGCTGAGCAGTGTAAACAGTGTCAGTGAGGTACCCTTGCAAAAAGACATTCCTGACATCAAACTGATGAATCGCCCATCCTCTAGACACAGTAAGGCTCAAGACGATGCGTATAGTGGCAGGTTTGACAACCGGGCTGAAGGTCTCGTCGTAGTCGATGCCATGACGTTGAGTGAATCCGCGGACGACCCATCGAGCTTTGTACCTGAACAGTTCACCTGTAGGGCCAAGTTTGTGGCGAAAGAGCCATTTCCCGGAGATAATGTTTTGGTCGGGGGAGGGGGGTACTAAATCCCATATATGAATATCTATCAAGGCATTATATTCATCTAGCATAGCATTGTACCAGTTAGGATCTTTAAGAGCACTACGGTAGGTAGGGGTATGGGGGAGATTGTGGCCATAGTGTTAAGATTGAGGATTTGTTTTGGACAGAAGATGTCAGCCTTGACTCGGGTGACCATAGGGTGGGTGGGGGCTGGCGGGTTATTG